ATTTTTTGAATGTTTCTCTAACATACTTCCTACTAAACACCACATTGTGATTGACAGTCTACTGTAGTATTGGTTAGAGAATAGGATTTCATATCGGTCATAATAAAATAATATAAAATTAATATATGAGATTTCACCATATTATCACCGAAGCATTTGTTAATAAAACTCAACACATAGCAATAGGTAGTTAAATAGAGACAACATCGATGATGTTGGTGGTGGACCTGCTAGACCTTTAGGGGGCGTTTGTTGCACCGGACTATCTCGGACTGGACTAGTTTCAAGGACTAAGCTGGACTGGCTTAGACTAGACTAAGCTGTACTAACTTAGTGAAGCGTTTGGTGCAGTGTTGGACTAAGAAGCTGAATAATAACAAATTCTAATATTATATTATTTAATATATAAATTATTAATATTTTATTATGATCTAGGTGACCGGAGATGACGAGGAGTCTATCGGGAGTGGTTGTTGAGCATGACGAGGACGAGAGATGATAGTTGTTGATGCACAAAATCAGCGAAGACTTTGGTACAACAGAAAGTGTCAGGTTTTGTGACCTTCGCTTGGTTGTTTCGGTCACAAGTGAGGATAAGTACGTAAATGAATAGAGACAGAGAAGCAAACACAGGATGTACGTGGTTCACCCAGATTGGCTACGTCCACGGAGTAGAGGAGTTCTTATTAGTAGTGAAGGGCTTACACAAGTACAAAGGATCAAGCTCTCAATTTAGTGAGTTCTTGTGAATGATTTAACACAAATGGCATTAGGCAATATTGTGGGGGAATGACCCCTATTTATAGAAAAACTTGTAGCTTTGTCACATTGACATGTGTCATGTTATGATTGGTTCTTGATGTCGACACGTGCTGCGCTCTGATTGGCTTCTAATCTTGACACGTGTCGAGTAGTGATTGGCCTCCTGGTCGGAGGGGAACTCTTCTGGGTCCTTGACAGTATAGCGTTGGCCGGTGCTCGGTAGTTTCGGGATTGGTCAAGTATGGTACAAACAGTGCTTCCCTAAGTTCCCGAGTGAGGGAAACTCCTCGGTTGGGGACTTGCAAGATCCAATCCCTTGAGTAATCACGAAACTTCTAAGTACCGAAGTGTGGTCTGATCTTCATCTGCCCTTCTCTGGAAGTACCTTTCCTCCATCCGGGAATGGTGTATTTAGCTGATGTTGACGCACAAGGTAATGTATCAATTTCACTTAAAGCTTAGTTGTAGTTTCGGGCTTAGTCAAGTGTGATACAAACCCTATAGTAGGAGTCCCCCAAGTCGCCGAGCTAGGAGATCTGCCGAAAGAGGTGACAGACAAGGTAAGCAGTCAAACTTCCAAGTAAACAACCCAGGATCAGAGGTTTGACTTCGGCTTCCGGTTGATTGTTCTCCTTCTCCTTGTCTCTCATTCAACTGCCAGGATAAGGAGAAGCAAATGGATAAGAGATGATATGAGATACTTTTGCTTTTGAAGAAGTAACTTTCCACAGGCTTATTCTTGAACTGTGCTGGAGGGTTTTCTGGTGCCCTTCAGAGTATAAGGCCGACCTCAAAAATTTGAGGGTCAAAACAAGTCCATCAAATCTAGAGTACGTTCGACCTTGATGATATGGGATACTTTTGCTGTTGACGGAATAATGAATGTGGTATGGAAAGGTGTCGTGCTGTAGTGATCTGTTTCAGCTCACCGTTGAACCTTCTGCTTCAATCTTTTGCATGGCAGAAGTGGTGTGCAACCTTTGCATTTAAATGGTCCTTCAGAACATTCCTTCATAGTGACTCATCCACGCTTGGCAGCTTCAGTGTAAAGAGCCAATATCTGATCAACTGTCATGAGGTATTTTGCCGGTGGAATTCGTGACCTTGACAGCAGTTGAGGATGAGTACTCGAGAGCAATGCTAAGTAAGCAACCAGGCAAAGGCTCCAGGCAGTCAGTTCCAAATTGGAGGTTTGATTTCAGGTTCCGACTGACTGCTCTCTTTCTCCTTGTCCTGCAGGTGTGGACAAGGACAAAGACAAAGATAGGGAGAAAGCATGATATGGGATACTCTTGCTTTCGACCCTGATGATATGAGATACTCTTGTTCTTGGTGTGGCTTATTTGCTGAGGTATTATCGGGGGGAAATAAAGCTGAGTATTTCGAGAGGTTATGTTGAGGGTGCCTTTTCGAATGCGAGAAAGGGTTGAGCATTTTTACAGGTTTGCCTGTCCGTTGAGGAGGGAGGTCAATGTATATAGGGATTTCCCAATAACAAGTAGTAATGCTATTCCTTTACCTTTCTTGGTCACAGCAATGTAGTGGGAGCTGCCAGCTTCACGTGTTTTAATTTTGTCAGAGCACTTTGAAAAAGTGGTATGTGGTATCTGGAAAGCTGATGTTACGTGTGAAGATTACAGACAAGCTTTATCTAAGGAAATCTGGCTCTCGAAGTTCTGAGAGTTGTGCCTCTTCGGTTTTCGAACAAGCAATCCCGTCGAGGATCTGACTCTCGAGATTCGGAAAGCGGTGCTACTCCGATTTTTTAGAAAGTAATTATGTTGGGAGTCTTTTCTCGAATGTGAGTAAAGGTTGGACGTTCTTGCCAACCTGTCTTGCCGCAAAACACGGAGGTCGACACACATAGGGACTTTCCAGTTGTCAAGCAGTGGTGCTGTTCCTTTACCCTTATGGGTAATAGTAGGGTAGCTGGAACTTCGAAATTCTCGTGCCTAAACTTTGTCAGAGATCTTTGACAAAGTTATATGTGGTACCCGAGGAGTTGATGGTGCATATGGAGAGCGGTGATTGAACAGTAAGATTCACGTGCTTTCTACTTCACCAGAAATCTTCGACAGATTGCCCGTAATTTCCGCAAAGCTGATTATGTGCATGTGACAGGTGCTGACGAGGCTGCAAAAGCAGGTGCTTCTTCGATTTCTGAGATCGGCCCTCGTGGTCTCTGAGCAGCCCAGCTTTTGAGAAAGCAAACGCCTCTTCGATTTCTGAGATCGGCCCTCGTGGTCTCTGAGCAGCCCAGCTTTTGAGAAAAGCAAACGCCTCTTCGATTTCTGAAGCTCCGTCGAGTGCAGATTTTTATAGAGGCTGGCATTAAGTTCCACAGCACACTTGAATCTCTACCAGTAGAAGCTCATTTCTTGCACTTCTAAGATCTTGATTTGTCTGACCTCTTCCTTCTTCAACACATTTGAAAATGTCTGGACCCTCCGACCGTCGTTTTGACTTGAACCTTGGAGAAGAGACAGCAGCCACGCCTTCTCCAGACAACATATGGCGCCCATCCTTCATATCCCCTACTGGTCCTCTTACCGTTGGGGATTCTGTGATGAAGAATGATATGACCGCTGCAGTGGTGGCCAGGAACCTTCTCACTCCCAAAGATAACAGACTACTTTCCAAACGGTCTGATGAGTTGGCTGTTAAGGACTCTCTGGCTCTTAGTGTTCAGTGTGCAGGTTCTGTGTCTAATATGGCCCAACGCCTATTTGCTAGAACCCGCCAAGTTGAATCATTGGCTGCTGAAGTGATGAGTCTCAAACAGGAGATTAGAGGGCTCAAGCATGAGAATAAGCAGTTGCACCGGCTCGCCCATGACTATGCTACAAACATGAAGAGGAAGCTTGACCAGATGAAGGAATCTGATGGTAAGGTTTTACTTGATCATCAGCGGTTTGTGGGTTTGTTCCAAAGGCATTTATTGCCTTCGTCCTCTGGGGCTGTACCTGGTAATGAAGCTTCAAAATGATGAACCTCCAATGCCTCCTCCTTCTGGGGTTTTGTCAAGTACTGAGGCTCCGGATAACCACCCTCCGGTGCTTTCTCTTTCTGGGGCTCTACCGACTGCTGAGACTTCCCCTAAGCAACCTTTGTGAAGGCTCCCTTTTGTTTGTTTATTTTGACTCATGTATATGTACATATTTGTGGCTTATCGAAAATATTAATAAATAAGCTTTGCTTCATTTCAACATATTGTGTTAAATACACCAAAGCCTTCTTCATAAAGTTCTTTGAATTTTTGCTTTTGTTGAAACCTGTATTGTTGAAGCTTTGTGAGTGAAGCATGTAGTTTGAGGTAGTGTTCCCTTAATTTCCCGAGTGAGGAAAACTTCTCGGTTGGAGACTTGAAAAATCCAAGTCACTGAGTAGTCACGAACTTTTGAGTACCAAGGCGTAGTAGCATATGGTGGGAGTCCCCCAAGTCTCTAGTCGAGGGAGTTGACGAATGAGGTGTCTTGCTATAGGGAGATACACACACATACTGCTATGATAGAGGGTGTAACCGTTGGTGCATTACAATCATAATGGAAGCATCACAATGATGGAAGCATCACAATGATGAAAGCATCATAATGATGAAAACACCATAATGATGAAACATCATAATGATGTTTCTTTGGTGGAATTGTTTTTCATTTCCCCTAACACCCTGAATTGGTTTTCAATATAAGACCATCATCTGTAGCTCGAATCACAAAGTTGTCTTCATGAAAGTTGTTCTTTAATTCCTTAACTACAACATATCCAAATTTGAGAGCCATCAGATCAGTACAACTCCAGAAATCCAGGTATGATGAGTGACTGTTTATCATTTGTCTGTCAACCCGTCAGATTTGTTGTGAGCTTTGAAACTCCATTTTCTCTTGCTCAGATCAGCATGCTTTCTTCATTGAAGTTGTTCCTCAGCTTGTGAACTACAACATATCCAAATTTGAGATCCCTCGGAGCAGTATAACTCAAGAAATTCAGGTATGATGAATGACTGGTTATCATTTTTCTGTCAACCCGTCAGATTTGTTGTGAGCTTCGAAACTCCATTTTCGATTGTTCAGATCAGCATGCTTTCTTCATTGAAGTTGTTCCTCATCGTCTCTTTCATAACATATCAAAAATTTAGAATGAACTAATGGTTAAATATTTCCAGATCTTCGAAACATCACAGCAACTTCGAAATCTGCAAGAATCCGACTGTCATGCTTGGAGCTTCAACACTGTAATTTCCGTGGCTCAAACAGAAATGGTTCCTTCTTGAAAGTTGTTCATCTGCTCAAGAACTAGAGGGTGTCCAAAATTCAGCTCCATTGGAGAAAAGCAGCAGCTGCAAAAATTTGATAGAGAAAAGGAGGCGAAGCTTTGTTGGATTTCTAGGCTGGGGAAGATTCCAGTTTTTGTAGCAACTTCAGTACTGGTGAATTGCTTGTATTTTTGTCCACAACTAAATTTTGGACTTTGAATTATTATTTGATCTATCATAATATGTTTGGGAACATATATAAGTGAAAAAATAAGAAGGAAAATTTTGGGCCCTTGTGGGTGTAAAACAAAAAATGTTTATGTTTACCCAAGTGTTTTTGTACAAGTTCAAGGGCATCTTGGGTTTTGTGAACAAAATTTGTTTATTTGGAGCAAGGTTTTGTGTTGAAGCTGTCTAGGTGAAGCTTTGATGGTGAAGCTTTGATGGTGAAAGTATGTAGAGGGAGCTTTCTAGGTGAAGCTTTTTTAGGTGAAGCTTTTTTAAGTGAAGCTTTTCGGGTGAAGTTTTTTGGGTGAAGCTTTGTGGTGAAGCTTTTTAGTGAAGCTTTGTGGTGAAGCTTTGTGGGTGAAGCTTTTTAGGTGAAGCTTTGTGGGTGAAGCTTTTGTAGGTGAAGCTTTGATGGTGAAGCTTTGTGGGTGAAGCTTTTTAGGTGAAGCTTTTTTGGGTGAAGCTTTGTGGGTGAAGCTTTTTAGGTGAAGCTTTGTGGGTGAAGCTTTTGTAGGTGAAGCTTTGATGGTGAAGCTTTGTGGGTGAAGCTTTTTAGGTGAAGCTTTGTGGGTGAAGCTTTTGTAGGTGAAGCTTTGATGGTGAAGCTGTTTTTTTTTTTTTTTTTTTTTGGGCGCTTGACACGGTCTTCATTTGCTTGTTTTGTAGTGACTGTGGAAGACGGATTGCTTTCTGATTGAGAAGGGTTCCGGCATCGCTTTGCACCATCTTCATGTGGGTAATATAGGAACTTCCTTATGTGTTGATCATGCATGTAGTGATAGAATTTGTTTCTTCTTATTGTAGATGTCAGAGCCTGGAAGTTCTAGTGATGAGGGCTCTTCTAGCTTTAGCTCTAAGTCTGAGTCTGCAATGTCAGAGTCTTCAGGGTCTTTGTTAGAATCCTGTACTAGAGAAACATTGGATGAACCGTTTTAGCTATTGCTAGTCTTCCTCCATGGCGTTGGGTGAGGGGGTTGTTTTTGATGCCATACCCATAGTTCGCTCTGAGTTCACAGCAGACCATCTAAAGAATAACTTGTTAAATAATGAGAAGCAGGTTGAGGCGCTAAGGCAGTCATGTAATATCCCTCGTAGTGTAGGGATACGCTTGGTACATGATGAAGAATGGCCTTCTGAGCCTCCCCAGGGTCATGTTATGTTCTACACCCAGATATTACTGACTTTAGGGGTGAGACTACCTTTACATCCGTGGTTGCAAAAGATGTTATCTTTGATCGGATATGCACCTGGGCAACTCAATCCTGGTTTCTGGGATACTTTGATTGGATTTTATATCATTTGGATGGAGTGTGGGTTGTGTGAGCCTTCCTTCCATCAGTGGCGTTACTGTTACAAGATGCGCCCAGCAAAATCATGCACTGGTTATGCCGAGTGTGCATGTCGGAGTGAGAGAGAGCGTATTGTGTATGGTAAGAAAAGGCATACTACACATGGAAAAACCGTTGGTGCTTTCTGTATAATGATTGGGAGTATGATAAGGGTGTCACGCCTGAGCGACGTGTGCTTACTCACTTCCAGACTGTAGGTTGTAACGTATCAACCGTTCGTACTATTTGCTATTTGTTGTGGTCTTTTCTTGCTTCTAACACTTTGTTTCATGTAGTGACGCGGGGCACCATCCAACTGTTTGGGCAGGAGCTATCTGACATAGAGAAGGTGTTGAGGGTGCCCAAAGAGGATAGACACTTAAGCAAGCTACGACCCTTATTTCGTCGGTACGGTTTCCAACCCTTAGTTTCCGAGAGCCAGGGACGGTCGAGTAAGTTGTATCCTTCATGTAAACTTAGCTCAATTCCTTACTTTATTTGGAAAGTTGTATTTCTTATTTTGATTTTCCTTATGCAGTGGAGAAGGTAAGCAAGAAAACAGGGACTAGCACCCATAAAAGGAGAGCACCAGTGTTAGTTCCTTCGGAAGACATCCTACCGCATAAGAAAATTCATAAGTTCCGAGGGGAACCATCCGTTAGACCTAAGTCCCAAGATGGGGTCCTTAAGGGGCCTGCCTTTAGGAAGACTGGAGTCGAGGCCGTTGAAAATGCTGCTGCCGTAGTTGTAGGAGAAGGGAGCCGACTGTTGCCTCATCCTCTTACTATGGAGCACACTGTCCAGGAAAATGATCCCGGTTCCCGCCATGAGGGGAAAGGCAAGGAAAGAGCTGGCAGTGTCCCGTGGAAGGACTTGAGGGTTGCCACGCGGCTAAAGGATTTTGGGGATATCAACAATTGCTTGGCAGGGCGTCGATTCGCCTTCGATGAGCTCGGAGAGCCCTTAGCTAAGGATGAATCGGATTGCGACCGGATGTTGAAGCTGTCTTCATATGTGAGTGTTACTTTGTCATTTCCTTACTTTTTCCTCTTTATTATCATTATTTAGGTAGTGATGATCGTCTTGCCATGCAGGTCATGGCCGAGTATCACGACAGACTGCAAGAGGTTGAGCGGTACAAGGCAAAACTGAAGGAGAATAAGCAGCTTGTGGACGAGGCCCGAAGGAATAAGGGACTTTTGACTCAGGCTCTCCAACTGAAGGACGAAACCATGGAGAGCTTGAAAAGGCGAAATGGTGAGAACCTAAGGCTTAAGAAATTGTTTGAGGCAACTAAAAAACAGTTGGAGGTGGCTACCTTGGAGGTATCCAAGGTTAGGGGAGAATTGGATGGTGCCTTAGTTGAGATTTCTGAACTGGAGAAGAGCATTCCAACTGCAAGGGAGGCTGCTGTGCAAGAATACTTAAGTTCTTCGACCTTTCATCTTGCTATTAAACCCCACTGTGCTCAAGAAGCTCGCTTTGAAAAAAGGAAATGGATGGCCGTCCTTGATCGTTATGATGATGGGAGCATTCTTCGAAAATACCACGAAGATATAGATGAGCATCATCGAAAGGGCGAGACATTTGTCCTTGCTGTTGATCCTAGCAGCGAAGATGAGTCTGATAATGAAGGTAGTGCTGATGCACAGACTCAACATGGTGAAGAGGGTCTTGGGGATGCAGAGGATGATGGTAGGACGCGGAGTGATACTGCCAGGGGTTCGGCTTCAGATGAGAATGAATAGCAGTGTCTTTACTATCTGCATGTATTCTGGATGTAGTAGTCTGATGTGTGTATAACATGTGCCCATGTTATAAGCTTGAGAGTTTTGGATTTTAGGTGTTTATGAGTGTTTGCACTATTATTAATGCATGTTTGGCTATGTATGAATAGATATATTGTTTGGATATAAGCCCTTGTTTGGTTGTTCCTTTCTTTGTATAGTCTTGTCGACACATACTTAGATTTTGTTTCGTGTTGGATATATCTGCTTTGAGGTTTCAACACTTGAGTGTTCCATTGCTAGGAATGTAAAAGAGTGAGGGCTGAGTTGGCTAAATTACCTCTTTATTGAATTCATTGCCAAATGGCCTTCATTACATAGGATGCCGAACGGCTATAGCTCAACACTTGTACATCGTGAGTCTATTTGTAGTAGTACTTCAAGTGATCAGCGTTCCATGGATGGCCAAGGGTCTTGCCATCGGAGCTTCTAAGTGTGTAAGAGCCAGGGCGACTGATGCCAATGACTTCATACGGTCCATCCCAGTTTGGACTAAGTGTACCTTCACTCGGGACTCTGTCGCAGAGTAATATTTTCTTTAAGACCCAGTCTCCTATTTTGAAAGAACGAGGCTTGACCCTAGAGTCATAATAGTTGGAGATGCGCTGCTTGTAGGCGACATTCCTCAAGTGAGCTTGGTTTCTGTGTTCCTCGACTAAATCTAAGTTGAGGGTGAGTTGTTTGTCATTTTCACTTTGAATGTAGTTCTGGACTCGGAATGTTGCTTGCTCGAGCTCAACAGGGACAACCGCCTCTGTGCCAAAGGCAAGTGAGAATGGAGTTTCTCCTGTTGAAGTCCGATATGAAGTGCGATATGACCAAAGAACTTGGGGTACAAATTCTGGCCAACAACCTTTAGCTTTGTCCAAGCTGGTTTTCAAAGTGCGCTTGATTATTTTGTTGATGGCCTCAACTTGTCCATTAGACTGGGGATGAGCTGGAGAGGCAAAGCATAAGTTGATGTTGAACTTAGAGCAGAACAACCTGAACTTCTTGTTGTCAAACTGTCGCCCATTGTCAGTGACTATGGCATTGGGAATGCCGAATCTACAAAGGATGTTCTTCCACACGAAGTCTTCTATCTTTGCCTCAGTAATGGTTGCCAAGGGTTCTACTTCGGCCCACTTTGTGAAGTAGTCCACTGCAACGACTGCGTAACAGACTTTGCCCTTCCCTGCCGGCATTGGGCCGATCAAATCAAGTCCCCACTGGGCGAAGGGCCAAGGGCTGATCATAGGAGTAAGAGGCTCTGGAGGGGAATGAGGAATAGTTGCATATCGTTGACATTTGTCACATGAGCGGGATACTTTGATGGCATCCTGGTGGAGTGTTGGCCAGTAATATCCTTGGCGAAAAGTCTTGTGTGCTAGGGACCGAGATCCAGCATGATCTCCACAGACTCCCTCATGTATTTCCCGAAGGACGATTTCCGCCTCGGCAGGCGTAAGACACCTTAAGTATGGCAGGCTAAAACCTCGCTTATAGAGTTGATCATTGATGATCAGGTAGCGGGTAGACTTGTATCGAATTTGCTTAGCCTGGACTTTATCATTTGGGAGGGTGCCATGAGCAAGGAAATTATAGATCGGGGTGATCCAACTATCCCCCTGTTGTAAGTTGCATACTTCTGCGGCCATGGTGCTTGGTGTTGCCAACAGTTCGACATGAATTTTTCTTCCAATCTTGTCTTCCACAGCTGAGGCGAGGCGAGCCAGGGCGTCTGCATGACTGTTTGCCGCTCGAGGAACTTGGGTGATCTGGTAGTGGAAGTGCTTGAGCAAAAGTTGTGTTTGCGCAAGATATGCTGCCATGGAGCTGTCCTTAGCATCAAAGTTGTTGGTAACCTGGTTGACCACTAATTGGGAGTCACTGAAAATATCAATTTGTTTAACCCCGAGGTGTTTGGCCAAACGTAATCCTGCTAGAAGGGCTTCATACTCGGCCTCATTGTTTGATGCCTTGAATTTGAAACGAAGAGCATACTCCATTGCTACTTTGTCGGGCGTAGTCAAGACTAGTCCCGCTCCACAACCCTGTTGGTTGGATGAGCCATCAACATACAGACTCCATGCTGAGGTCGTTGATTCTACTTTCTGAGCTTCTGATGGTAATGAAGCTACTGCTTCAGGTGTAGAAGCAATGTCAACAGGATATGTGAAGTCGGCGATGAAATCTGCTACTGCTTGGCCTTTTTCGGCTGGTTTTAGTTGGTAGGAGATGTCAAACTCACCCAATGCTATCGCCCATTTGATCATTCGTCCAGACGTGTCAGGACTCTGGAGTATCTGTCGAAGAGGGTGATTGGTAAGCACGATGATGGCGTGTGCTTGGAAATAAGGGCGAAGTTTCCGAGCAGACATGACCAATGCTAGAGCTAATTTCTCAATGTTGGAGTATCGTGTCTCCGCATCTTGTAGGGCCTTGCTAGCGTAGTAGACGGGCCGTTCGACACCACTGTCCATTCGAATAAGAACAGAACTGACTGCTGAAGCCGAAACCGATAGATAGATGATGAGAGTGTCACCAACTTCTGGTTTGGAGAGCAGAGGGGCTTTACTCATGTACTCTTTAAGGTTCCTGAATGCCTTGGCACATTCCTCCGTCCATGTAATGTACTTCTTATTTCCCTTGAGTGCTTTGAAGAAAGGAGCACATCTGTCTGTGGCCTTAGAGATGAATCTGGTTAAGGCTGCCACCTTGCCAGTAAGGCTTTGGATGTCTTTTAAAGTTATTGGCTCTTTCATGTCGAGGATTGCTTTGATCTTTTCAGGGTTAGCTTCAATGCCTCGTTGGCTAATCATGAAGCCTAAGAATTTGCCATAGCCCACGCCGAAGGCACATTTGTTGGGGTTCAACCTCATTCGATACCTCTTTAGAATGGTGAGAGTTTCAGATAGGTCGGTGATGTGTTGGTCAGCATGTTTGCTTTTGACTAGCATATCATCAACGTAAAACTTCCATGTTCTTCCCAATTTGTTCGGCGAACATTGAATTGACCAGTCTCTGATAAGTTGCTCCTGCATTCTTTAGGCCGAAAGGCATGACTTTATAGCAATATAGTCCCCTGTCAGTAGTGAAGGCCGTGTGTTCTTGGTCTGAGGGGTTCATGAGGATTTGGTTGTATCCTGAATAAGCGTCCATAAAGCTCAAGAGCTCACACCCTGCCGTAGAGTCTATAAGCCTGTCAATAAGAGGAAGAGGGAAACTATCTTTTGGACACCCTTTGTTTAGGTCGGTGTAGTCAACACACATCCTCCACAAGACCTTTTGAAGCGAAAGACTTTCTTTGGTCGGATTTTTCCTAACAAGGACCACATTTGCCACCTATGTCGGGTAATTGACTTCGCGGACAAAGCCTATGCCTTTGAGTTTTTCAACTTCTGCTTTCATTGCCTCGTATCGTTCAGCGTCATAAGATCTTCGCTTCTGTCTCACCGGCTTGATCTTGGGGTCAATACTCAAACGATGACAGATGACATCGGGAGAGATGCCTGGCATGTCCTCGTATGACCAGGCGAAGACTTCAGTGTTCTCTTTCAAAAAAGATATCAATGCTAACCGAAGGGGTGGTGACAATGTGGTGCCAATATTCACCATGCGGTCTGGATGATCTCTTGAGATAGGTACCTTCTCCAACTCTTCAGCAGGTTGGGCTTGCCGGGTGAAAGAGTCATCTCGAGGATCATCGGGTTGATTGTTGCTATCAGGAAGATCCAAGGTTCGCTTCATCTAGGCTGGTCTTTGTGACTTGGTCATGTACAGACAGGGTTTCCTTGGGTCCGGGCAAGTGTTGTTGCTTAACTGAAGTGTTGTAACATGATCGTGCACTAAGCTGATCTCCTCTGATGTAGCCGTTGCCATGGGGGGTTGGAAATTTCATCAACAGCATATGCGTGGATACCATAGCCTTGAGATCATTGATGCCTGTGCGCCCAAAGATGACATTGTATGTCCGTTGGGCAGTCAACCACTAGGAAGTTAGTGGTAATGGTAGCCGTGTAAGGGCCTGTACCAATAGTAAAAGGGTAAATGTATGCTCCCTAAGGGTTGCACGATATCACCGGAGAAGCTTATCAGAGGAGAAATCGAGCGATCGAGCAAGTGTTCAGCTACACTGAGTGCCCTGAAAGCTTCGGCAAACATGATATTGACCGAAGCCCCTGTGTCTACGAGGATTCGTCGAACATCAAAGTTGGCTATGTGAGCCTCCACGATCAATGGGTCGTTATGAGGGTAGATGATGCCTCTTTCTTCCTCAGGGTAGAAACATATCGGATCCCAGTTAGGTTTTTGATACTTCCCTCCCCTGATGTCTTCCACGTGAAACACTTGGTGACCAGGCCTCAGACTTCGTTCACTGTTTTTCATGGCCCTATTGGAAGATTCAGATATGGGTGTGCCGCCGCTTATAGAATATATGACATTCACCTGGCGTTGGTTACGGTTATCCCTTTGAGGGTGAAGAAGGAATTGATCAATTTTTCCTTCTCGTGCCAAAGCTTCAATACGATCACGGAGGATGATACATTTCTCGCTATCATGGCCGTTATGCTCATGATAGCAACAAAACGTGCCCGCGTTATTCGAGGGCGTGTAATCTGGGTGCCTCGGCTTTGGCTTTGGTATCAGGTGAGCTATGCTGGGGTAAATGGCCGCGCATGTGGCATTCAAGGGCGTGTATGTCTCATACCTTGGGGTAGGGGGTATCTTGACGCAGGTTTGACCCACTGCATTGACTGCCTGGGGGCGAGCGTTATTGTGGCGATACCCTTGGTTATCGGGATAGTGTCCCTTACTCTTTTTACTGAAAGGAGAGTGGTGAGGATGGAAATCCTTCCTCTTGCCTTGAAATTGATATGTCTGTTGATTCGGTGAAGCATTATGCAAGGCATGGGGAGGTGCCACTGCTGTTTGGGAAGTCGAGGTCTTCTCATTTAGGTGAGTCTGGCTTCCACCTCCCACTTGTTGATAAAGGATGGTTGTAGGGGGTTTCTCCTGATATGTCTTTGCCTCGGCGGAGGCATGGTTATAAGCCTGCGCCATCACCTCAGAGTAAGTCTTCCAAGTATTGGCATTGATCATGTATTTAAAGAAACAATCACGTAGGCCTGCCGTGAAGGCTTTGAGGGCAGTCTTGTCGTCTGCCTCGGCACACCGGGAGTATTCATGGCTGAAGCGGCCAGCATACATACGTAATGACTCGTCTGGCTTCTGGCGGATAGTGTACAAGTCATCTGCAGAGTGCAAGCGATCGGTTTGGAAAATGTGTTGGGAAATAAATAGTTTCCTCAATTCCTCAAATGAGTCTACCGTCTCAGGTGTAAGACGACAATACCAATTTAGAGCTCCGCCAGAGAGGGTGGAGGGGAAGAGAAGACATCGCTCTTCGTCGGTGTGCATCCGGTATGCCATGGTGGACTCAAAGAGGTTAAGGTGCTCAATCGGGTCCTCTTTCCAGTATAAAGTTGCAAGCCAAGCTTCTGCTTTGTCTTTGCTTGAAGGGGGGTGTTGAGGATCCTCCTTGTAAGAGGGCCAGGCCTGGTTTGGTTCCAGTCAGGTATTTCAGCCTGACGTTCAGCCTTCAACTTGTTTACTTCCTCAAGAAGTTGTAGGACAAGGGGGTCCTGAGTGGAGTTATGTGTCACTGGAGCTTTCTTTCGTAAATCTCCATCTCCTCTTGGAATTAGGAAGGTTTGATTAAGGGCATGTGATTTTTCCCTGGACTCGCTGTACTGGCTTCCAGGGTATGTCTGTCGGAACACCTATGAGTCCCCTGTACCCTCATGTCTCTCTAGGACTTGTTGCCCATTCCCCAATTTGGTGGCCGGCTTGGGCCGTGGCAGGGGACCGAGTCTCTCAGAAATCCTTGGGTCATTAATCTTTGAGCTTATATGGATGGAATTCTCTCGACGTTGCTTCAGGAAATCCCGACAATCGCGAAAGACGGCTTTCGATCCTTCTGCCCCTTCAGCAAAGAGGTGTCTCCCTCCACTTCTCATGGTTCGGGTCGAAGCAACTGGGTTAAGAGAAGCCTCATGTTGATTATCAAGTCGAGGGGCAATCTGTTCCCTATCAGGGATATCTATGTCGAATGCATGTGACCCTCCATGTTGGAGGGCACCCAGTTGATGGTTGACTTCCACGGGGGCAACAAGCTCGCGTGTCTGAGCTTGCCTAGCTTCGTGGAGTGTCTCGAAGAGCTTCTCATATTGCTCCTGGAGGACCTCATTCCTCATTGCTATCTTGTTGTTCTGAGCTTCCAACTCATCGACTTTAGCTTGAAGAAGAACTCGTTTTCCTTCCTTCTTTCGTTGTTTCGCACTATGTGCAAGGGGGGTGTCATTCTGTGTGCTGTGGCTTCCTTCGCTTCCCATGTTGGAGAGGGATGCCTGGTCAAAAGAAAGTGTACGAATGATAGAAACCAGCTTGACACAGCTGAAGAGAGTAGGAATAAGTGTCGTTTCCCACAGACGGCGCCAAATGTTGATGCACAAAATCAGCGAAGACTTTGGTACAACAGAAAGTGTCAGGTTTTGTGACCTTCGCTTGGTTGCTTCGGTCACAAGTGAGGATAAGTACGTAAATGAATAGAGACAGAGAAGCAAACACAGGATGTACGTGGTTCACCCAGATTGGCTACGTCCACGGAGTAGAGGAGTTCTTATTAGTAGTGAAGGGCTTACACAAGTACAAAGGATCAAGCTCTCAATTTAGTGAGTTCTTGTGAATGATTTAACACAAATGGCATTAGGCAATATTGTGGGGGAATGACCCCTATTTATAGAAAAACTTGTAGCTTTGTCACATTGACATGTGTCATGTTATGATTGGTTCTTGATGTCGACACGTGCTGCGCTCTGATTGGCTTCTAATCTTGACACGTGTCGAGTAGTGATTGGCCTCCTGGTCGGAGGGGAACTCTTCTGGGTCCTTGACAGTATAGCATTGGCCGGTGCTCGGTAGTTTTGGGATTGGTCAAGTATGGTACAAACAATAGTCTTAGCTAGTCCCATGGTTATTGGGGGGTCTCGCTAAGACCTCTTAGTGAAGGGTTTTGTCCATGCTAGTCCCCTTTAGTCTCATTAATGTTAGTCCCAGTATGGAACAAACACAGTATTGGACTAACAGCTAGTTCAGTCCAGTCCAGTCCAGTCCCACTTAGTGAAGGTAAACAAACGCCCCCTTAAAGTTTATCTTGGTATCAGAGCAGCCTATTCTTTCGACATGTCCTAGGCCCGATTTATTGGGCTCAAATTTGCCTCCTTAAGTTGGGCTTTCGAAAAGTTGCACTAACTTCCACTTAAAGATATTAATGGCTCCTTTAGATGTGCTTTTAAAATGATTGAAAAAACTTTCCGTGAAAATGTTTTTGAAATTAAGTCTTAGTAAAAATCCAAGTAAATCTTGGAAAACACTTTAAGTGCTTCCTGCAAGAAGCATGTATATGGTGATTCTTCCAAAAATCACTTAAAATGCTTTTGGAACCCAAAATCAAGTTTACCAAAAGCGTTTCCAGTTATTTTAAAAACACTTTCTAAAGAGCTCTAACACTACGAAATAAATAAAAATAAATAAAGGGCTTTCCCAACAACTATGCAGGCGAAAATTTTCGTTAGGAAAGGTCAAATTACGTCGGTAAAGATAAATTTTTCCCAGAAAAGATTTCGTCGGCATATCCTTGCCAGCAAAGATCTTGCCTAAAGGTTACAGACACAGTAAGTGTTGCGGGAAAAATCTATCACGATAAATCTTAGCTAGTGAAATGAGGCTGCAGGTTAACCTATTCCGTGGGCCAAAAGTACCTATCCCGAAAAAGTGTTCCTCACCTGCTGGGAAAAGGTATCTATGGCGATGAAAAGTTTGCTAGTAAAGGTAATATTTTGCCAAGAAATACACCTTATAATAACGAAACAGTAGTTCGTAGGGATAGATATTAATTTAAAAATAGATAAATATTTCTCCTTCACTGCTAAATATGTTTAAAACAGTGGAAGAGGAATGCCTGATTTACTCGTCAAAATATTCAAAGATTCCTTGCCAAAATGCAAGACAACCAACCAAACTTATACAACATTAGGTGAAATGCAAATCCTTAAATGCAAGTTCAACTGCTCAATAACATTGTATCATAGTGAAAGCATCATCTCCATTACTTAATTACTTGTACATGTACAACTGCATATAGCCAGGACATAGACGAATTCTATTCTGTAAAGAAAAGCACCTTCATTTAGTCATGGAATCCCTCTCGCCCTCTTTCCCACTCACCCGTCCACCTTGGAGACCATAGCCATGGAATCCTATCTCAAATCGACTCTCAGTTTTCTCCTTCGCGCGAGTCGAAGAAAGCCAACGAAATCAACAATTGTTTCTTCCACGCCACCCAATTCTAAAATTCTTTGTGTGAATTGTCTATCTAACTTTTGAGACAACGATTCGTGCTTTCTTCCTGAGTACAATTGTATAAAGAAGAAAAGAGAATAATTGTTCAACAAGTGAGGGATAACTCACCTCTTCCCCTTCCATTATTATTTGTCTAACACGCCCATATTCTAATCTCAACATTTGGCTACCAGAACGGTAATACTATTACCATACCAATCCTGAAATTCTTGGTTCAGATCTCTTGGTTTTCTCTGTTTCCACTAGTAACCGAAAAATGGCCGAGGCACTCATTTCCGTGCTTCTCGAACAACTGGCTTCGGTAACGTACCAACAAGTCGGAGAAGAGGTGAAGCTGGTTTTGAATGCTAAGAAAGATGTTGATGCATTTGCTGCCAACCTTGAAGCGATTGGTGCTGTGCTTGAGGATGCGGAGCAGAGGCAAGTGAAGGAGGCCAGCGTCAGAAATTGGCTGGAGAAGCTGAAAGATGTGTCGTACAAGATGGACAATGTGCTGGATGAGTGGAAGACTGAAATACTGAAACAACAAGTTGAGAATGAAGAAGAGCACGGTGGAAGTACTTCTCTTGTTACCAAGAAGAAGAAGAAGAAGGCGGTATGTTTCTCTATTTCCTCCTCTTGCCCTTGTTTCCGCCAAGTCCGCCGGATAATTCTTCGTCATGACATTGCTCTTAAGATCAAAAGTCTAAATGAAAATTTGGATGTGATTGCTAAGCAAAGAGAAACATATAACTTTCAAATCACAGAGAGAATGATCAGTGAACAACCTAAGCGAGAGACAACTTCTTTTGTTGATGAATCTATCATATTTGGTAGAGATCAACAAAAGGAAGTTTTGGTCAGCAAGTTGTTGAATGAGAGTAGTCAAGAAGAGAGGGGCCTCCTTGTCATCCCTATTGTCGGGATGGGAGGAATGGGGAAGACAACTCTGGCCCAATTGGCTTTTAACGATGAAAATGTTAAAGCCTGTTTTCAGATCAAAATATGGGTTTGTGTTTCGGACCCTTTTGATGAGATCAAAATTGCCAAGGCCATCATTGAGGGTGTCAAAAAAGATACCAGCCCAAATTCAGATGAATTGGAAACTTTCTTGCAATGTATGTCTAAATCCATTGAGGGAAAGAAGTTTCTCCTTGTTCTAGACGATGTGTGGACTGAGGACCAAGGAAAGTGGGAGAAATTGAAGTTGCCATTAATACAAAGTGGCGCCCATGGCAGTAGAATATTGGTGACCACTCGAAAACAGAAGGTTGCTGATATGATGGGAGCTCCCACTCACACGATCTATTTGGAGAGGTTGAGCGAACAAAATTGTTTGTCAATATTCAACCGCATGGCATTTTATAATAGGGATAAGGATGGTGTGTTGGAAGCCATTGGTGAAGAAATAGCAAAAAAGTGCAAGGGTTTGCCTCTTGCTGCAAAGACTTTGGGTAGTCTCATGCGTTACAAGAAAACGAGGAAAGAATGGCAAGAAGTTTTGAACAGTAAGATATGGGAGCTAGAAGAGGTTGGGCAACAAGTTTTCCAACCACTATTACTGAGTTATCTTGATTTGGCACCTGCAGTCAAACGATGCCTTTTATATTGTGTTATCTTTCCAAAAGATCATGTGATCTATAAAGATTATTTGATTGAGTTGTGGATGTCACAAGGTTATCTCTATTCGAAGGGAAACATAGAGAAGGAAATAATTGGCCAAAGGTGTTTTGATAATTTAGCAATGCGGTCTTTCTTCCAAGACTTCCAAGAAGACAGAGATGGAAATATCTGGAGGTGTAAAATGCATGATATTGTGCACGACTTTCTGCAGTATCTTACTCAACATGAATGCTTTAAAATGGAGGTTAAGGGTGGTAACGATACAATAAAGCCCTTGGGTGATAAGATCCGCCATTTGACCTTAATGCTTGCGCCTGAGGGTCCACTCTCATGCATTTCGTTTTCTAGCTGCAATCTACGTACTCTTGCAAGTTTTGATTCAAAATTTAATGTTGTGGACTCAACTTTGATTGCGCAGTTGAAACATCTTAGGACATTAAATTTGAGTGATAATTCTATTGAAATGCTTCCGGAAGAGACAAGTCAATTGGTGCATCTGAGGTTTATTGATTTGTCCCGTAATCCTTTGAAAAAGCTACCGAATGGGGTGTGTAATTTATACAATTTGCAGACATTGCGCCTTAATTGGTGTGAGAAACTTGAAAGTCTACCTCAGAGCGTGGGAAAGTTGATTAACTTAAAGCATCTTTATGTTGAGTATTGTTTTCAGCTAAAGTACTTGCCGAAAGGGATTGGGAGATTAACAAATCTAAGAAGACTAGATCGGTGCCCTGTTGGCGGTGGTAAAGACGACGATGAAGCATTCAAATTGGGAGATTTGAGAAACTTAGACCAACTTCAGGGTAAACTACAGATGGTTATTTATGGGGATGTGAAAGTTGCTGCGGGTGAGCTGGGGAACAAACAACAACTCTCAGAATTGAGTATAGAGTTTGAGGAGTGTGGAACTGCGGAAATACTGAATTTCTTACGACCGCATCCAAATTTGGAATATTTAAGAATCAATGGCTATAATGGAAGCACTGCCCCCAACTGGATCATGTCATTAAACAATTCGAGAGTTCTTCATCTTGCGTGGTGGAATGAATGTGAAGTTTTACCTCCTTTGGGAATATTGCCGTCCCTCGAAAGGCTGGAGATTGATGGTATGAACTGTGAGGGGTTAGGTCCCACATGAATCCTACCTTCCAGCTGTGTGGCACTCTCAAATTAGCGGGAGGCCCACCAAGTACAGTAGGAAAACCTGATGATAATGTTTTTCCCGTAATTATTATGGCACCTCCCTTATACTTCAGAACCACCATTAGTCTTCAACACTCAATACGTTCACCACAAAACTAATACACAAACCCTAAACCCTCTCTTTCTACGATTTCAACCTTTGAAACCCTTTTTCGGCTAACCCAAACCGCTCATGAAAACAACAACAGCCTTGTTTCTTTATACAACATAAACCTTCATGCTTAAAAGAAGGCACACTTTGTGCATTCACACCAATAGTGGTCAGTGACACACAACAACGCGTCTTCCAAACCATCATTCACACTACAACAAACAAACGGGTAGATACTACAAATTTAAAACAGACATTCCTAGTCAATAATTCAATGACACCAATTTCCAGTTAAAGTTTTCGTCCAACACAAAATTTCATTGGTGCATTAGTATCAACCTCATATATAACTAAGGGTAATACTAATTCGAGGCAAAATTAAAAAAGAACGAATGCACCGATGCTCGAAAACCATCGTTTACACCACAGAAAAACATAGTGGCAATGACTAATGAGTTACTTACCCTCAATATTTTATATGTTTGATTGCAATCCAAACCTAAATTCTTCACAAGAAATTCAATTAATAGACAATATAACAAGGCAATCTCCGACTGTAAATGATGGAGAAAAAAAAAAGTTACCATGATAGAATCAATTCCGCAGCCAATTTTATCCTTACAAAGAAATCCCTACACATTCTTCACTCTCTCGTACCGCACCCTCTCTCCCTTATCAGACAAACTGGCCACAGCACAGCATGAATTTTGTTGTTTTTTACACTAACTTCACAACCATATAAACATAGCAAGCCTTGGTTAAAATTTAAAAATAAAATAAAAAATAAGGAAATTTATTCTAACATCTTTCAAGACAAGACAAGACAAGACAGAAATAAAATAAGTTGACAACTGACAAGGTAAAAAGTATCAAAATTTAGGGCAGAGTGCTTTTTTACACTCCTATTTTGGGGGTGTTCCACGACCTAAAGTTTTTAAATTGCACCATTTTATGCCTTTTGTTGGTTTAACCATTATGTATGTCGGTAAATTATTGATGTAGCTTTTATGAAATCTATCTTAAGTTGACGTGTCAATGAAAAAATTGCAAGGTAACGGCATGCACATAACGACTAAACTAATAGAAGTCATAACATGATGCAATTTAATATCTTAGGGTGTAAATTGACAAGAAAGATGATCAATAATGGCTGTTGAAGAAATAAGTGAGGGATGACTCACCTCTATGATCAATAATGGCTGTTGAATCCGGATCTTCACCGGATCATCTTTGTAAGGATTTCGGAGATCTGTAAATTGTGTTCGTTCATCATACATAGTGCTGTTAAAAATTATTTTAAATATTTTTATTTAATATTAAATACAAATAGTACTTGGCAAAAACTAACTGCACAATATACGATAAACGGACACAATTTACGAATTCTTAAGATTAAGGGATCCGAAGAGGATCCTGTTGGCATATTCTTATCTCAAAAGCATAAATAATTACATTTACATAATTTTCAGATTAAAGTTTAAAAGTCAGTGAAATTGTGAATTGCCAATCTAACTTTTGGACTTTTGAGATAAAGATTCCTGCTTTCTTCCTGATCAATAATGGCTGTTGAAGAAATAAGTGAGGGATGACGCACGTCTACCCTACCATTATTATTTGTCTAGCCAGCCCATATTCTCATCGCAAAATTTGGCCAGAAGAAAGGTGATATCATACCGATCCTCCACTTCTCACTTCATCTCTCTTGTTTTTCTCTGTTTCCACTGCTACCCGAAACATGGCTGAGGCACTCATTTCCGTGCTTCTCGAAAAACTGGCTTCCGTAACTTACGAATACGTCGGAGAAGAGGTGAAGCTGGTTTTGGATGCGGATAAAGATGTTAAAGAATTCAAGGCCAAACTCGAAGTGATTCGTGCTGTGCTTGAGGAAGCGGAGCAAAGGCAAGTGAATCCGAAGGAGGCCAACGTGAGAATTTGGCTGGAGGAGCTGAAAGACGTATCGTACAAGATGGACAATGTGCTGGATGAGTGGAACACTGAAATACTCAAACAACAAGTTGAGAAGCAAGAAGAGCACGGTGGAAGTACTTGTCTTGTTACTGAGATGATAAAGGCGGTATGTTTCTCTATTCCCTCCTCTTGCTTTTGTTTCGGCCAAGTCCGTCAGATAATTCATCATCATGAAATTGCTCATAAGATCAAAAGTCTGAATGAAAATTTAGATGAGATTGCTAAGCGCAGAGGAGACTTTCAATTCAGAGAGAGAATGATCATTGAACAACCTGAGCGACACGAAACTACTTCTTTTGTTGATGCATCTGAGATATTTGGTAGAGAACAACAAAAGGAGGTTTTGGTTAGCAAGTTGTTGAACGAGAGTAGTCAAAAAGAGAGCGGTCTCCTTGTCATCCCTATTCTTGGGATGGGAGGAATGGGCAAGACAGCTCTGGCCCAATTGGCTTTTAACGATAAGAAAATTGAAGATTATTTTGATGTCAAAGTATGGGTTTGTGTTTCGGACCCTTTTGATGAGATCAAAACTGCCAAAGCCATCATTTCTGGTGCCAAAGGTGACAGCTCAAATTTAAACACTTTGCAAGATTTGTTTCAGCGTATGTCAGAATTAATTGAGGGAAAGAAGTTTCTCCTTGTCCTAGACGATGTGTGGACTGAAGACCAAAGAAAGTGGGAGAAATTGAAGTTACCATTAAAACAAAGTGGCGCCAGTGGCAGTAGAATATTGGTGACCACTCGAAAAGAGGAGGTTGTTCGTATGATTGGAGCTGTCACTCAAAAGATCGATTTGGAGAGGTTGAGCGAACCAGATTGTTTGGCAATATTCAACCGCATGGCATTTTTTAGTAGAGATAAGGATAGTGTGTTGGAATCCATTGGTGAAGAAATAGCAAAAAAGTGCAAGGGTTTGCCTCTTGCTGCAAAGACCATGGGTAGCCTCATGCGTTACAAGCAAACGAGGAAAGAATGGCAGGAAGTTTTGAACAGTAAGATATGGGAGCTAGAAGAGGTTGAGCAACAAGTTTTCAAACCACTATTACTGAGTTATTTTGATTTGGCACCTGCGGTCAAACGATGCCTTTTATATTGTGTTATCTTTCCAAAAGATTATTTGATCTATAAAGATTATTTGATTGAGTTGTGGATGTCACAAGATTATCTCTATTCGAAAGGAAACACAGAGAAGGAAATAATTGGCCAAAGGTGTTTTGATAATTTAGCAATGCGGTCTTTCTTCCAAGACTTCCAAGAAGGCAGAGATGGAAATATCTGGAGGTGTAAAATGCATGATATTGTGCACGACTTTCTGCAGTATCTTACTCAACATGAATGCTTTACAATGGAGGTTAAGGGTGGTAACAATACAATAAAGCCCTTGGGTGATAAGATCCGCCATTTGACCTTAATGCTTGCGCCCGAAGGTCCACTCTCATGCGTTTCATTTTCCAGCTGCGATCTACGTACTCTTGCAAGTTTTGATTCAAAATTCACCATCGTGGACTCAACTTTGATGTTGCAATTGAAACATCTTAGGACATTGAATTTGAGTGGTAATTCTATTGAAGTGCTTCCAGAAGGGATAGGTGAATTGGTGCACCTGAGGTTCATTGATTTGTCTAAAAATAGAGGTTTGAAAAAGCTACCGAATGGGGTGTGTAATTTATACAATTTGCAGACGTTGCGCCTTGTTGAGTGTGAGAAACTTGAAAGTCTACCTCAGAGCATGGGAAAGTTGATTAACTTAAAGCATCTGTATGTTTGGGGTTGTCGTAATCTGAAGTACTTGCCGAAAGGGATTGGGAGATTAACAAATCTAAGAAGACTAGATGGGTGCCCTGTTGGCGGTGGTAAAGACGACGATGAAGCGTTCAAATTGGGAGATTTGAGAAACTTAGACCAACTTCGTGTTCTCAGCATAGAAATTGTTGGGGATGTGAAAGTTGCTGCGGGTGAGCATGAGAAAGCGTCACCCCTGGGGAACAAACAACAACTCTCAGAATTGAGTATATCTTTTGATTGGGAAGACAGGGAGAGAAGAAGTGCAGAAATACTGAATTTCTTACGACCGCATCCAAATTTGGAATCTTTATATATTGCAAGGCATCATGAAAGCACTGCCCCCAACTGGCTCATGTCATTAAACAATTTGAGATATCTTACTCTTTATGGATGGGAAGAATGTGAAGTTTTACCTCCTTTGGGAAAATTACCGTCCCTCGAAAGACTGGCGATTTGGAGTATGAAAGGAGTAAAAAAGGTTGGAGTTGAGTTTCTGGGAATAGAAAAGGAAACGTCATCAGCATCATCATGCATTACTCTATTCCCAAAATTGAAAACACTCAAACTATGGTACATGGAAGCGTGGGAAGAGTGGAAAGGAGTGGAAGAGTGGAAGGAAGAGGATTCTCATATTACCATAATGCCATGCCTTTCTTCTTTACAGCTTCAGAGCTGCTTTCAGCTAAAAACACTGCCAGACTTCTTGCGGAAAACACCACTTCAGACACTAGACATCAGAGCGTGTGGTAATCTTACAAGAGGTTGCCGAAAAGGCAGAGGAAAGGAGTGGCCCAAGATTTCTCACATCCCCAACATATATATTGATGGTAAACGCATAGTGGAGGCAGAGGATGCTGTTGAGTTACCTGAGAGGCCTTCCACTTCAGGCATAGTGGAAACAGAGGAAGCTGTTTAGTTGCATGAGAGGCCTTCCACTTGTGGTAATTAAGCTCTTTTCTATTTATTTACCAACTCAGTCTATTCATTTTACATCAATCCAACTAGACAAGATTCCAACTAGACAAGCATAACTGCATATATAATGTTGCAAGGGACTTGTAACTCGGTTAAGACCATATTCCAGGTCCCGGGGTACGATTCCTCCTCTCCCAATGCTCTAGTTTTATTTTATTTTTAAAATCTCTGAATTTGAGACTTAGCTGCTACTAGTTACAGGTCCCGAGTACAAACAATGCTGCCTGAAATAAACCGAAACCATTACATTGGAGCTGACTTTGGCTGGGTGCAAAAATCATCGAAAAGGTAATCTCAAAATTAATTGGGGTGTTTAGTTTATGCATACATGTATTATGAAATAGTGCTAATCAAATACAGCTAAATTTGCTTCAATATCATCAAATATGCATACACCCGGGGAAGGAAATAATTCAAATAGAATTGAGATAACCTTTTGCATGTTTGAACACGCGAAGAATATTATGAGTTCTAGCATCCCAAACTCGAACCACGCCATCTTCTAATCTAGAAATCAAATCATTTCCAGAAATGCCATATGCTAAGCAAGTAACAACTTTGCTGTTCAAAAGTCTAAAGTATAAAGTTGTGAGTTAAATGAGTTTTGCTCATTCAAAATATACTAAAATGAATGTTCCTCAGATTCGGTTCGCCAGAACGCAAGGCCTGTCATAACTAAAGGTAGAATGCAGGGTTCTTAAAACGTGCAACAATCTTGGGCAATTATACTTTGAAAAACGAAAAATACAAATTTAAAAATTAGACAAGTGTTAACCGAAGAAAACTCAAAAGGTTGCCTATAGGAAAAGAGAGAAACCTGTGATTCAAGAAACAATCGATGATATGCAATCCATTCTTGCTGTTAAGTGGGCTCTCAGCACTAGGTGCACCAATATTGTGATTTGCAATGGACTTGTAACTCCCAGTATCGTGATTTGCAATGCTCTAGTTTTATTTTATTTTTAATCCCAAAACTATATGCAAGAAAGTAACAATTTATAGTCACAAAATTATTGAAAATCATCGAAAAGGAAGAGTGCGGAAACAGGTAATCTCAAATTAATTGGGGTGTTGTGTTTATGCATGCATGTTTCGTTGACCTTTTCAAGTATAATGCAAAAAGCTCCAGACTTGTTTGAGGTCTCCGGTACAAGTCAGAACCAAGAATACAACACAAAAGGTGATCTTAATACAACTTCCTATATATTTCTCAGAAAAATGCTGTCAAACGACTAAAATGTTAATTCACTGGACCTGCAGAGTACAGTGCAAATTTTATGTAAATACTATAGGAAATTCAAGAAACCTGTGATTTGAGAAACAATCGATGATATGCAAGCCATACTTGCTGTTAAGTAGGCTCACGGCATTAAATGCAGCAACCTATATATCTTGCCATCTCTACCACTGGCAAAGAAGACATTATCACCAGGATCTAGAGCAATCGCATCAATTATAGTAGGGAAAACAATATTTCTAAATAATCTCCCTCTTCCTACGCTCCAAACCTAAGAAATTTACATGCAAATGAAAATTACAAAACACATGCAATTTCAAGAATGCAGTGCTTTTTTGTTTATTGGGGATGAATACGAATGCATCAGTAAATAATAGGCAAAAGACATGTAATAGATATTGAGGGACTAAAAGAGTGTGCTCCGTAAAATGTCCATCAGCATTTCAGAGCTCAAAAAAAGATCAATTCAAAGAGACAAAAAAAAAAAATGATTAGGAAAGTTAACCTCCCATTAAGTAGATATTCCCCGATGAGCCTCCGACAACAATGTACATGCCTTCGCTGTTTGCAGCGAGTGGATTGATCAGTGCATCTGGGAAGCTCTTGACATCAACTTGCGGCTGCACGTCAAAATTCCCAAAATTCAATTAAAATGCAAGCTTTATCAGTTGAGGCAGTTCATCAAACAGATTGTGTGCATAATAAAGGAGGTCATCTTACCTTGGACCAGGACCAGTACTGAACAAACAACAACTCTCAAATTTGAGTATATATTTTTCTGATTGTGGAAGAAGTGCAGAAACACTGAATTTCTTACGACCGCATCCAAATTTGGAATATTTAGGAATCAATGGCTATAATGGAAGCACTGCCCCCAACTGGATCATGTCATTCAACAATTTGAGATTTCTTCATCTTGCAGATTGGAATGAATGTGAAGTTTTACCTCCTTTGGGAATATTGCCGTCCCTCGAAAGGTTGATCGTTATGAGTATGAAAGGAGTAAAAAAGGTTGGAGTTGAGTTTCTAGGAATAGAAAAGGAAACGTCATCAGCATCATCATGCATTAACTCTATTCCCAAAACTTAAAAAACTCGAATTGCACCACATGTATAAGTGGGAAGAGTGGAAAGGAATGGAAGAGTGGAAGGAAGAGGATTCTCATATTACCATAATGCCATGCCTTTCTTCTTTACAGATTGGGTACTGCAGTCAACTAAAAACACTGCCAGACTTCTTGCGGAAAACACCACTTCAGACACTTGTCATCAACTGCTCTGGTAATCTTGCACGAGGTTGCCGAAAAGGCAGAGGAAAGGAGTGGCCCAAGATTTCTCACATCCCCAACATCACAATCCAGCCTGAATATTATCATTTTGATTTTGATGATGAGGGCGAAGACATCGTCGAAGCAAAGGATGCTGTTGAGTTACCTGAGAAGCCCTCCACTTCTGGTGAGAGGGTGAAGGCATAGTGGAAACAGATGATGCTGTTTAGTTGCGGGAGAGGCCTTCCACTTCTGGTAATTAACCTCTTTTCTATTTATTTACCAACTAACTCTATTCATTTTACACCAATGTTCTAATTTTAGGCTTGAGCTTTTATTATACTTGCCAAATTACAAGATTCCAACTAGACAAGTATAACTGTATATATAATGTTGCAAGGGGACTTTTTAGCTCGGTTGAGACGAGGTCCCGAGTTCAATTGCTCCTCTCCCAATATCGTTGTATGAAAAAAAAAATAACAAAATGAGTATAAGCTATAAGGTCATGGGTGCGTCAATATCATGATTAGCAATGCTCTAGTTTTATTTTGTTTTTGTTAATCCTACCCGCCTGAGTGTTACTGAGTACTGATAATGAATGCAGAGCTCACACATTTTCTCTATAAGGGAGGTGAGATAGAAAGGGAAGAGAAAGCTGCATGCATTACTAGAACCGATGGTTGGGTGCTGCACTACAGATTTCACCTGGACATAGGCACATTCAAAAGCTCCATTATGTGTGTGTGTGTATAGTATGTATATGAGGTCTTCAGTTATGTATGTGTGTGTGTGTATATAGGCACATCCAAAACTCCATTATGTGTGTGTGTACAAGAACTTTAGCCCCTGCATTGCCGCATGAATGTCAAATTGATTATAAGCATTGTATAAAAGTGTTAGAATGAGGAACTACATGTGTTGTAAGCGTTGTGTGTAAATATGTAAAAACTATTTATACAAAACATATACAAAGTTTTTATATAAAATATATAGTAGTTGTTGACAACTCTACATACATATAGTGTTCAAAATCTAACAGCTCCTATTTTACCGATATACAAATTGATGTTAGCAATAAAATTATAAGAAGAAAATGGTGGGAGGGAAAGAGGGAGAGTGAGCTTTACAGGTGAGCAAGCCCATTGTATGCTTGGTGTGGCTTGTTGGAGACGTGCAGACAGCTGCAAAACTTCAGCAAATAAATTGATAATGCTTGTGCTCTGCTCTGTTCTTTTGCAAGCTGATCCTACAAAGCACAGACAAAACTTGAAAAATGATGCCAATCAATGAAAGCTAAACACCCCCATCCTGAATCTTTAATAAAACAAAATACCAAGGAAAATTTCAATAATAAATGTTTTTTCATACCAAAAACGAAACATTTGAAGTAAATGTTTTACTTTGAAATTTCAACATTGGCTTAGTTCAGACATTATTATCTTACTTTGAAATTTCTCCCACAGAATGTGCCTAAAGTGTTCGTAGATGACCACTGTAGAGTAGACATTAGGTGGACTACTCTTTGACTATGTCATTAGACACATTACAAAAGCTTACTTTCCATAACCTTTGCATGTAACTTACAAATTCCCAACTACATTTGTCATTTGTGTGTCCTCAGCTTTCATTGCGTAACCACATTTACGATTGAAACATTAACCAAATCCAAAAAAACAAAAATGTGACACTCTCTCTCTCTATGGCTTTCTTACTACACAAAAAGTTTAAATTATCCCCCACATGAAAAAATAACAACAAAAAACAGAACAAAGGCACTATATTTGTACCAGCCAAGGCCAGCAAAAAAATTCAATCCAAAAAGTAGCCAAGCACGCTTCCACCGATATGCATCATGAAACACATTTTAAGCTATCTGGATAGACTATCCAACAATATTCTCCGATACACTGTTGCAAATATGCCTCTATAAAAAACACAAAACGTTGAATTCCATTACCTTGTTGTTATTGACCTCTTTCTCAGTCGGAATTGTCGGAGCTTCGGAATCCAATCCGTCAGCCGGAACTGTGGCGGAAGAGACTGTCGATCAGGGCCATGTCGCCTTCAAGCGCCTGCGGCTAGAGCTGAAGAGGGGAGTCAGAATTATAATATATCATACTGACAACAGCATTATTTTGAATTCAGTTTTGCAGAATTATTTTGAATTCAAGAAATAATGTTCGTATAACATATCAATAAGCTAAACAGAATTCTCCTTGTGAGAGGAACCCAAATAATGTTCTAGTTATACAATTTGTTGGCCTAATTCGACAGAATTCCATGATCTTAGAATAACGTAAAACACAAAAGCATCCAGAATATCACAACCCAGAGGTTAAAATTACCAGATAATCAGTATCAAAAACCCATAACCCAAACTTAAAAGCAAAAAAAATTAATAAATAATTATAAATAAAAAAACCAATGGTACCTGCTCTGTTACACGTCGTAAAATCAGAATCTTCATGGCCATGAGCAGAGGCTTCTTGGAATCGGAACCGTCCTACTGCTTCAATACAGTGATCTCGCCGAGCTGGGGGACTGAAATTCGCAAAAGAAAATTTTAGGTCCCTGCAGGTCGTAATCGGCGAGAGTTTGGGTGGTGGGACTGAGGAAATTGGGTGAGTTGCCGTCTACAAGAAGAAGAGAGAGAGTTTGTGTGATGGGAGAAAATTGGGTGGTGGGAGGAGGAGAGAGTGTTTGGCTGGTGGCAGGTGAGGAAATTGGGTAGGTTCGGTGAGAAGAAGAGGGCTTTGTGAGTTGAGTGAGGAAATTGGATGGGTTCGGTGAGGAAGAAGAAGATTGGGCTTTTGTGGGTTCGAACTTCGGTGAGAGAATTTATTGGGGTTGGAGAAGAAGAAGAAGAAAACACTTAAAAATACAACACACTTATTAAAACTTAAAAAAAATTATTTGTGAATAGCATTTCACATTCTCTTTGTCCTTGTTTTTTTTCCAGCGAAACCCTCCTATGCAAGATGGCAAGGTAAAACAACATATTGTGGAAATTTTCAGGTCGACGGGCCGATGGCCCACTCTAACAACACCGATATTGTCCCCACTTAACCACCTGCACAATCATCAGGTGTGGGGTTTTATCACAAAAGGCCTCGATGTTAGTTAGAGAGGGGTATTTCTATTTAAAGCACTCTTCTCTTCTCCCTCTGTCCGATGTGGGACTGGGGGTTCCAACACATATTGAGGCCTATGCCCATACAGGAACGTGACACTTATCCCCTTAATTTGGTTATCAAGCAATGTATGATGTGTCTTAGTGGAAATTGGAATATTGATAGTTGGAGGTGGTCCAGAGATGCAGAGAAGGACCGATGGGAGGCAATTCGAAGATGAAGATGCACATGACACCCCAATCTGCCCATCAATATCGTATGCATCATGTTGTTAAACATTTCTTCTTAAATCTTCTTATGCTTCTAATCTCTATCTCTATATTCATATACAAGCATTCTCAAGAATTACTACTTCTTTTCCTACATATTATGTTTTTTTGTCAACAGTTAAGAGATTCGAATTTGACACTTTTTAACATTGAAAAAGGAAAATTATCACTTGACCAAATGACCAATACCTAGTTGATTTTGGTCCACCACATAACACTTAATTATGTTTTAATTGTTTTTTTTAAGGAACGTTGATGGTTTCGCCGTTATGGCAGTTCACCTTTCTAAGGGTTGGGAAGACTCACAGAGGCATTTCAGTTTCCTCCTGGCCTCCATCGTGTGATTTATCAATGCCGATAATCGAAACTAGGACAAGCTGTGTGAAATATGAACTTGAAGATATGTTTTTGTTGATCGTTCAATATGTTATTTTGCCTGCAAATATAGCAAATAGAGTAGGGAAGTCGACATCTAAAATTTTCTTTTATAAAATAGATGATTGGTATTAGTTCTACAAAATGGGCAAGTAGGTAGAGTAGAGGTGGAAGCTGCCTGCCCACTCACAGTTGATCAGAAAAATGCATCAGAAATCTTCAAATTGCACTTTTTGAATGGAAATCACAGCTTCCATGCGCCCTAAAGAGTAGTCAGCAGCACAGCAGTAAAGAGCAGGAAGATGGAAGTTTGCCAAAAAAAAAAAAAAAAAAAAAAGAGCAGGAAGATGGGATATCATATCAGATCATATGGGCGACTAGATTGATGACTCTGCATGTTTCTGCTTTCTAGTGGAAGAGACAAGTTGCATTCAGCAAACGGTGCTCACCTCTCACGTCCCACTTTATCGGATCTGTGATAACTTACACCATGGGCTTGCGGCCCCACTACCCATCTCCTTTCCTCTCCTGAAGAACGAGATCTATATACATAAAACAGATTTATCGTTATCATAATATATCGATTCATGACACCTTCTGAATCTAATGAATCTCCATGAATGATTTAGGTGTTGTTCCTTCAAAGGTTGGAGTTGCCCTTCATCCATTGTCATCAACTGCTTGGTATAATGCCTTGAAGAGGGGTTGTCCTTATTATTATTATTTTTTAAATATTACCTAACCAAAACGGCGTTATTTTGAGCTAGGTTATTATTAAAAAAAATTATCTGCATGCTGTAGCAAACCCCTAAGTCAATTCCAATTCTTTAATCTGAATCCAACCAAACTCAATCCCTAACGCCCAAACTCCCACCACCCAATATTGACTTTTGTTCTATTAGTTGGTATAACTTCAGTGCAGAGAGTTTTTTCGCTATGAATATTGTAAAAAGTATGTTGTGTTACCGAATGGGAGATCTATAGTTGATTGATAGCATGATTGTTTATATTGAGAGCATGTTTTTTCTTTCATTGATAATGAAGCTATGATGCGGCGTTTTCAAAATATGAAAATACGTCGTGGACAATTGTAACTTATATTGTTATTTCTTCTATAAATTATAAATGATAAAGTTATGTTTTAATTTTTAAAGTTCTTATATTTTTAAGGAATATTTATGAACTTTTACATGATCCTCCAAATATATTTTTTTTCTAAATTCACAAGTATATTTTTCTTTATAAATATAAAAATTTGGAGTGTAAAATGAAAAATTTTAAATGCCAATAATAATTTACTTTTTAAATTGAGAATTGTAATAGAGATTATCGTGGGGTTTGTTTTGTTAGGCTTATAGCTTTTAAAATGTGGAATCAACGTTGCATCTTTTGGACCCCCCCTGCCCACCAATATGTCTGGAATCTTTATTTGACCCTACTGTTTCCTAATTTCTCACGTCTCTCATTATTATACATTAGATTCGAAAAAAGTTTAGTTTTCACACTAATATCAATTAACTAGGTGTGATTATTATCTTTAAACTTGAACTTTATTCAATGAAAATAACCAAAAACAAGTTGAAAAATAATTTACGTGAAATTACTCTACCGACTAAAAAGTGTCATCTTACTCAAAAGTTAAATTGATGGACACGCAGAAGGGGCAAATTTAAAATTTTGTATACATATGAAATTATAAGGGCATGTTTACTTATTATAAATGAGATAAAGTGAGAAACTTAAGAACAGGGAGACTAAGGAAAGAAAATCAGATCAACTAGTATTCTAGTTGATTGATTGATTTATTTTAAAAAAGGGAACCAGCTAGTGCTTCGCCACGGTAGTCCATCTTTTTGGAAAGACTCGCAGTGACATTTCAGCCTTCCTTAGCCACCATCGTGCATTCACCATCAGTAGGAATCGAACCCAGTACATGCCAGTAGAATACGGGCTTGGAATTCGTCCTCAACCGCTGGGCCACCCTGTGTTGGTTCTTCTGTTTATTTGTTCCTGATATTTAGGTATTTGATTACGAATTTTAAGTAAAAGTTAACACTTTTTTTATATTCTTAATTTTTTTTGTTTAGAACAACAAGAATATGAATTTAAATGTTAATATGGAAATTGAAATTAAATTATAAAATAACAAAAAATTCATAACGAGTTTCACTTTAAAATAATCTTCTTGGCGTTCTCCGAAGCTGAATTAGAAGAACTTAGATTCTTCATTTCTAAAGGAAAAAATATGTGGATTCATGTTTGTTGCCTCAGCCTCTATCATACAGTGCTCACCTAAAACCACTTTCGTGTCGTGTGTGGGTCTTTTGATTGGAATAGGGAATTTTGGGTCCACCTGCATAAAATATCTACTAAATTTTCACGATGATTCATGACCCTACGGAAGCAGCAATTAACCTTTTTGTAGTTTCTCAATTATTATTCTTGGGCCTATATAATTCAATTTCCTAATGGAGGATGTATGACCGTAATTAAGAGCTTGAAGACGGGCAAATTCATTTTTGGTATAAAATATGAATCTCACAACATAAAGCTACGGCCCCATTCGTTGTATGTGTGACAAGTAGATATTCCAAACCAATCTGCGTAATCTTATAAATTATAAGTTTTTGTATATTTTTTTTGGAATTGACATGTTAAAGAGATTTTTTATAATACAGGTAACATCTGAAGAGAACGAAATCAAATTCAAGATCATAAGTGCAGGTGATCTACTTAAAATAAACACTCTTATCATCACCGTGATGCTTGAGTTAAAATTTAATGTCAAGTAAAAAGATATTTACCGATGCCACGTAGCGATGAAAATTCATTGGTAAGTTTTTCATACAAGATTCTTTGAATATGGATAAGATATTCTTAATCAACTAAGCTCTACGTCATCATAACACATATGATAGGAATTGGCTAAGATTTGGCTGGTTTTATTTAGGCCTTTCCTTTTAAATAGTTTAAAATATGGTCACATAACGAATGTATAATCCCAACTTATTTAGTTGGTAGTTAACTATATACTTCATTTAAGTTGGAATTGGTGCTAAATAGCGCAAATTAAATCTTAATCCAGTCAATTAAACGCCTCTAAAGGGTTGTAAGTTGGAATTGGTGCTAAATAACGCAAATTAAATCTTAATCCAGTCAATTAAACGCTCCTAAAGGGTTGCAAGAAAACATGAAAGAAATTTATTTGCCTCCATCTTTTAATTCGTTGAATATTTGGGTCTTGTCCCGTGATGAACGAAATTGAAAGAATTATATTTACATGGATTTGAAAAATAAAAATTTACAATTGAGGTGACAGTGAGTGTGGAAAATGAAGGGGGAGGAAAGAATTGAATTGGCACAAGCAACATGAAAAGTCTCTCCAGATAGTGGGACGAATGGAGCACTCTTTCCGACACTCTACCAACTCATACAAAAATACAACGCTATTCTCCAAACCAAACTCTGACTACGTGCCCAACCCACCACCATACAGTAAATTCTCTGTTTTTTGTTATGTTGTGAAAACATAAAAACCGATGACAAATTAAGATTTATTCACTTTTTTCGGATTTGGAAAGATTATAAGGAATTCTACATTACATATAATTATAAAGAAAACTAATGAAAATGACTTGAAAATTTTAAGTTTTAAGATAAAAATAAAATAAAGGGTAAATTAAATAGTACCAAAATTAACTTTTTAATATCAAAATATGATTTTTCATTAAAATAAATAATACCAAAAATTTTTCGTTAAAGTACTCGTAATTATAATCAAATAGATTCACCAGTTCAAAACCCTTAACTTGAGTTAAAAGGAGAACAAAGAATTTTAACGGTGGTCATATTTATGATTTTAAATCTCATCCTAACGGGTCCCACACTGTCTTGTCGGACCGTGATTGGCAGTGGGCTTGGACTTGGGCTTCTCCTCCAGCCTATCATATCTCATCCTGATGGTCCCACACTCCTTGTTGTATTCCTATCATCCACTTTCTTATTTTCTCAAATAATAAATGACTCTTTTTTTTTTTTGTATTCTCTTAATTTCTTAAAAATAAAAAATAGAAGA